AAATTTGGATATGGTAAACTTCAGAAGAGAAAGGGTTGATGAGAAATGATAGTAGAAAGAAAATCTGGAATGAGATCAAAGAGTATGCTAACTCCTTCTTTTGGATCAGTGAGTCAGGGAATATGAGAAAAGGTGAAATCAGTGCTGTAAAGGATGCCCTGAAATGTAATATCATCTAAGGGAAGTGAAGTTTCAGTGAGTGCTAGAAGACAGAAGGAGTGTAAAAGTAAAAGGTTTTAAAATGAAAGGAAGTTTGTTATTTATGGAGTCAAGTCAAGTCAACAAGCATTTATTAAGGGACTACCATGTCACTTCTGTCAAGAGTGAATAATAGTATAGATGAAAGGCTAAAGAATGTATATAAGAATATAAGAGGCTATTGAAATGGTCCTGGTAAGAGATAATAAAACCTAGGCTATAATAATAACAGTGGAAAGAAAAAAAAGATAACAAATTACAAAGGTAATAAACTGGCAAGACTTGTTGACTGATTCTGTGTGAAGGGTGCAATAAGAAGTAGGAATCAAAGTTAATGCCAAGATGTTGAGCCTAAGTAATTGACAGGGAATAGGAAACAGGAAAATAATGAAGACAAGCTGATTTTCAATAAGTTCTCTTTTGGACATGAGTTTGAAAGTGCTGGCCAGATAGCCAAGTAGAAATGAATAACAGAGTTGGAAATGTTGGTCTGGAGCTTAGAAAAGTGCTAGAGACATTCACTGGAGAGTCATCCACATAGATAAAGCTATGGAATTGAATAAGACTTAGAAAGGAGACAGTGCATAGAGTAGAGGGAAGAGGGTCAAGCACAGAATTTCCTGTAAACCTATATTTAGGTACAGGAGGAAGAAAAATACTTAAAAGAGCATAATATCAGGGCAGCTGGGTGGCACAGTGGATAGAGCACTGGCCCTGAAGTCAGGAGGACCCGAGTTCAAATCTGGCCTCAGACCAAACACTTGACACTTACTAGCTGTGTGACCCTGGGCAAGTCACTTAATCCCAATTGACTAAAAATAAAATAAAAAAATAAAAATAAATAAAGAGTATAATATCATCAAAACCAGGGAAGCAGAGTCAGTGAGTCAATGGGCATTTATGAAAAATTTACCAGGCACTGTACTAAGTGTTGTTGAAAAAATGAGGGATGAAGTGGGAAGGAGATAAACTACTCACCCTCACATTAGAATGTGAGGAGTTCACATTCTAATGAAGAAGACACTGTTGTTATTGCATAAATTGTTGTTCTGGTCTGCTTGCTTCACACTATATCAATACATACACATCTTCCCAGATTTCTTTTTTTATTTTAATTTTAATCTTCACTCCCAAATTCCTTTTCTCTCTCCTCTTTCTCCTCCACCCATTGAGATATCCATTATACATATACAATCATGCAAAATATGTTTCTTCATTAGACATGCTCTGGGAAAGGGGAGAGGGAAAATTAAGAAAGGGGAAAAGTATGCTTCAATCTTTAATCTGTGTCCATCAGTTCTCTAACTGGAGGTGGATAGCATTTTATATCATAAGTCCTTTGGAAATTGTGGTGGCTTATTGTATTGATCAGAGTTACTAATTCTTTCATGGTTGATTTTCCATACAATATTACTGTTACTGTGTACATTTTTTCCTGGTTCTGTTCTCCTCACTCTGCATCAGTTCACAAATGACTTTTCAGGTTTTTTCTGAAACTATCCCCTTCACCATTTATTACAGAAGAATATTATTCCATCACATCTATATACCATAACTTATTCAGCCATTCTCTCATTGATGGGCTATTCTTTGCCACCACAAAAAGAGCTGCTATAAATATTTTTGTACATATGTGTCATTTTCTTTTTTCTTTGATCTCATTGGGATATAGACCTAATAGTAGTATTGTTGGATCAAAGGGTATGCACAGTTTTACAGCCTTTTGGGCATAGTTCTAAATTGTTCTCCAGAATGGTTGGACTAGTTCACAGTTTCCTGACAGTGTATTAATGTACCTGTTTTCCCACATCCCCTTCAGCATTTGTTATTTTCCTTTTCTGTCATCTTAGCAAATCTGATGGGTGTTAGGTGATATCTCAGAGTTTATTTAATTTGTGTTTCTCTTATTATTAGTGATTTAGAGCATTTTTTAAATAAAACCATTGAAAACTTGATTTTTTCCTCTGGATACTGTTGAATATACTCTGAATTTCTCTAGATGTACTTTCATCATTTATCAGTTAAAAAACCGTTTTTATTCTTATAACTTTGAATCAAGTGAAGTCAACAAGCATTTATTAAGTAACTTCTATGTACCAGATACAGTGGAGATACAAAGAAAGGCAAAAGCAATAAGAAGCTCTCAATTTAGCGGGTACAGGATTGCAAACAACTATGTATGAGCATGCTATATACAGGTTATATTTGAGATAATCCCAAAAGGAAAGCAGCAACAAGTCTAAGGGAGAACAGGAAAGGATTCTTGGAGAAGATGGAATTTTAGCTGATATCTAAGGGAAGTGAAGAGGCAGAGATGAGGAGGGAGAAAATTCTAGGTATGGAGAATAGCCAGCAAAAATGCATAAAGTTACAAAATAAAGTATCTTATTTGAGGAGTATCAAGGAGGCTTGTGTCAATGGATCATTGAGTATGTGGAGGATTAATAAGGGGTAAGAAGGTTGGAAAGCTTGGAAGGGATCAGTTCATGAAGGACTTTAAAAGCCAAATAGGGGATTTTATATTTGATTCTAGAAGTAAGAGTAAGCAGGGATTCAGGAGAGAAAGGTCAAGCATAGCTAGAGTGGAACATTGGATAAGTAGGATTGAGGAGATGGGATTTAGAAACCAGGTAGGGGGGATGAGAAAGGGGCAAAAGAAAGGTATTTGTTTTTTGTCAGTCAGGGTTTTAGTACCACTGGGATACAGAGAATGAAAGGGAGTGGGAGTGGGCTTACAGCTGGGGAATGTGTCCAAGAGAAATATCATTAGAGAAAGTCTATTCAGGGAGGCAGATGATTAAAAGGTCCTAAGTTTTTGTTTTTGTGTTTTTAGTTTTTTATAGATAGTTCCTTTATAGAAAAGTCTGATTCCCAAACCGGCCAGACTGCCACACAAGAGAAGCATTCAGAACCACAAAGATGTAAAAACAAAGGAAAAAAAACCCAAAACACCACAAAATAAACAAAAAAAATCCCAGATTGGATTCCCAGATTCCCCAAAAACCCAACATCTGCTTTTCCTCTGGAAGCCAAATAGAAGCAAGCCTAGCCAGCAAAAAGAGGACCAGAGCCCCCCAGAGTTTCCACTGAGTTAAATGGAAAAACCCAGAAATTCCAACACAGGGTTCCCACTACTCTCAGAAAGGATTCACAGCTTTGGGATTGGAGGTTGCTTTAAATTATGTGGTAAAGAGTAAATAGATTTGATTCTTTCAAAAAATAATTTTTTCCTCCTCCCCACCCCAAGGAAGACACAGGGGAAAGATTATAGATGAGACAAATTTGGAAATGTCTCTTCTAGAGACTGGAGAGAAACATTGAGAAGGGGTGGGGAAGGATCTAGAGACTATCCTGTAGAGTGGATATGAGGCCAGTGAGGGTAACACTCAGTCTAGGAGTGCCTAGAAGGTTACCTTTGAGACCTGAAAGAGGAGTTTGGGAACCTTGTCTGAAAGAATGAGATAAAGGTACCAGGTATGAAGTAGATCCAGTACTGAAACTAGAGTTAGTCAAGTGTCCTAATGGAAGCTGGTGATGCAGTCCTATATGAGGTGGATCCAAACCAGATACCAGAATGGATCCAACTGGCACCTAGAAGCTATCAGTGAGACTCAGATCCCTCTGGAGGTGGTCTCACAAGAGCCCAGTCTGGTGATGGAGCTAGCAAAGGATGGTGGCACTGAATGGCCTGGCTTGCCCTTAAGGCAGATTTGGGAAGCTGTGGTGTTCAGTACATTAGAACTGGCAATCGGGTGAGGTTCCCACTTGAATCCAAGGCAACAAGTAGTGTTGATCCTGCAGTAGAGTTTGTGTTGGAATAGGGGGGTTCCACCTGAAACCAAAAGCCAGTAGACAGGTAAGGGAAGAGGATAGGGTAATACTGTATATTAAGAAGATGGGTTCATGAGAGGAAACCAGGAATCAGACAGGAGGAAGCATAGTGGAGAGCACTTGAGAATAGATCAATGAAGGAAGAAACAGATATTGTCAGTAGATATACTATGGACTACCTGAACAGGAAGAGGAAATAGATGGGTTCATAAACATCACTATCCTAACACAGAAGCATGATATAGTAGTGATTAAAAACCACAACTATTTGGATTTTGTCCCTCTTTTTTCAGAATTAAGGGGAAATTAAGACAATTTTTTCAGACTATCTTTCCTTTGCATTGTTGTTCACTCTTTTATAGAAAATACTTGCCAAGAACTCAATACAAATCAGCTTATCTTCACTGAAAAACAAAGCCCTTCGTAAAAGTATAGATACCCAATAAACAAGCTCTTTTGATAACTGTTTGTTCATATTCTTTGACCATTTTATTTATCATGGAACTGTTCAGTCTTATTATCTTATTACTTCTCTATATGTCTTGCATGTCAGGGCTTATCAAGATACTAAAATATTCAAATGTCCTAAATGGATCTGTGATCTCACTAATTTGAGAGTTCTCTCTCTGCCTATATTTGATATAAATAGCTTTTTCCCCAATCAAAAGCTTCCTATCTTATCCTAGTTACATTGATTCTATTCTTACAAAAGCTTTTCAGTATCATATAATCAAAATTCCAGAAAAGAAACAATGTCCAGGAGGAAAGGGCAGTCAACATCCTGTCAAATGCTTCAGAGAAATCAAGAAATGTGAGACTGAGAAAAGTCCATCGGATTTTGCAATTAAAAGATCATTGGTAATTTTAGGATTGCATTGACAGTTGAGTCATGAGGTCAGAAGCCAGACAAAGTAAATAGAAAAAGCAATACAAAGACTCAGATAACAAGTTGATGTGTTTTTCCTCCTAAGTTTTACAGTTACGACTTCAGCAAAGAAGGACCCAAGAACAACTGGCTAATCAAGACATAATGTTGTGTGAGTATCTTCTATCATTCATAGCTTATTCTCTATTGATAATTTGCCTCCATTATGAAATTTCTATTTAATATCTTAGATTGTGAGTATATTCAGTGTGAACAGGGATACTTTTCAATGGACTTTGACTCTCGTAGGATATAGAGAAGTGTCTTTGCTTTGAAATACTGAACGCAAATTGCTTTTCTGATAAATGCAACTTTTCCAAGTATCCATTCCCAATATATTATAATTCACTTTCATCTGATTGTAGAGATGTACACCTCGAATCTGTAATTGCCAAGCATTTCCTCTCTTTTGACTGGAATTCCAATACTGCTACCACCATACATGGTGCAACGTTATTGTAACAAGCTGAACAAAAGGCAAAGATATATTAAATAACTATATTTCCACAATTATTATTTACTAATTACCAGAAAAAATGTCCACATGAATAGATCTTTTTAGCCAGAACAATTTGAAAAGACATATAGTGAAGTGTAAATATTTACCTACATTAATTGAAGGGATACTCACACCATTGAAAACAAGAACATTTTTACATTTTATCCAGTCTGTTTAGTTAAAAGAAAATATTGTTTTAATAATATTTGCAAATGACAGGTATTTGAAACTTTTCCCCTCACATCAAAACATTGAAGTGTGCATTTACCCAGTTATTTTCCCCCCAGCAATAAAAGGTGGGGAAAAACTAAATCGGTGGTTCTCAAACTTACTTTCTTTATACTTTTAAATAATTATTGAGGACACCAAAGGGCTTTTGTTCATATGGGTAATGTCTATTAATATTTATCATATCAGAAATTAAAACACAAATTTTATATTTATTCATTTAAAAATAACAATAATAAATTTATTACATGTTAACATAAGTAACAGTTTCATGAAAAAAATTTCTAAAACAAAAAATAGTGAGGTATAACATTGTTTTACATACTTTTGCAAATGTCTTTAATGTCTGGCTCAATGGAAGGCAGGTAGATTCTTTTATCTGTTCTGCATTCAATCTGTTGTGATATATTGTTTTGGTTAAAGTATATGAAGAAAATTGGGTCTCATACAGATATGTAGTTGGGAAAAGGAGGAGTATTTTAACAGGCAACTAATGTCTTAGTATTGTTATGAAATTAGTTTTGACCTTGTGGACCCCTTGAAAGAGTCTTGGGGACTCCCTGGGGGAACTTAGGTCATACATCCAGAACCATTAGCCTAAAGTCCTAGATGATAAAAGTCATTTAATCCTGAATCCTCAGCATAGGTATGTTTGAATATTCTCTCTCATAAAATGGATACAATAACACAAATATAAGTTCTGAGCCCCTGTGGTATGACTATCATCATTTTATTACTTTGTGGCAGCAAGTTCAGTACTTATAGTACTTATCTCCTGGGGTTGCTTTGAGGATAAAATGAGATAATATTTATAAAGTGCTTTGTAAACCTTAAAGTACTATAAAATAATATCTAGGTGGTGGTGGTAGTGGTGGTGGTAGCAATAGTAGTAGCAGTGTTCCCTTATGTAACTTTACCTGGACTTCTCATATTACCAGTGGTTTTATGTATTGTGATTCATGTGTTCTCGTGCTTTGAACAGTAAGGTAAGTATTCTGTCTGAGATTCAGATTTTAAACTGTGATTTTTATAGACATTTTCTTTTGTTTTTGATTAAAAATACAACTGCCCTAAAATAGGAAAGCAGAAAATAACTTGGAGGTAATTGTAGAGAGCAAGCTTTATAAAAGAGCTAGGTATAATTTGATACTAATTCTTAACTATTATCAGAATCACAGGATTTTGGAGCTGGAAGGGACCTCAGCAACAACTTAATCCAACCTACACACAGTTTACCTGACAAGTGGTTACCTAACATTTGCTAAGAAACTTCCAGAGATGGGGAATCCACTACATCCTGAGGCAGCCCATTCCACTTTTGGATAACTTATTTTTAAGGAAGTTTCCCTTATATCCAACCTAAATTAGCCTTTTTGCAACAACCATTCTTGGTTCTGCCCTCTAGTGCCAAACAGAACAAGTCTAATCCCTATTCTATATTGATGGCCCTTCAAGTAATTGAAGACAGTTAATATGTGCCCCCTTCCCAAGTCTTCTCCTCTCCAATTTAAATATCCCCCGTTCCTTCAGTCTTCACATGGTATAAACTTAAGGCCTTTGATCATCCTTATTGCCCTTTCCTGAAAACTCTCAAATTTATGTATGTCCTTCCTAAAATATAACATTCAGAGTTTAACACAGCATTTCAACTCTTATTTGACCACAGTAGAATACAATGGTATTGTCAGCTTCTTTATTCCTGAAAGCTACGCCTCTCAATTTAGCTCAATATCACATTAGCTTTTTGGGCTGAATTGTCTTACTTTTGACTCCTACCCCTAGTCTCTTCTCCATAGTGTAATGAGAATGAACTTTTCTAATTCACTCTGAGTCCTTCCTTGTAGTTAAATTCCTCCTAGAATTTAGTCATGACTCTCGCTAGGGCTTCAGTTTGGGCTGGAATCAAAAGCTGTTGTTGGCTAATGAGCCTGTCCCCAAACTTCCTGCTGCTCAGTATCACAGTACCATCACAGCTTAAAGAATAATTTCTATGAGTTCCTTCTTTTGTAGTCTGTTTCTGAAATAAGCTCTACCACTTTGAACTTCCTCCTACATACTAAAAGAAAAGTACAGAGAAAACTAGAGCAAAACAACAACATATCAATGGCATTTTCCCCCAGTTAGATAATGGCGGGGGGGAAATTTCCATTTTAATTTTAAATTTCTACTTACTGCTTCTTCTGTCAGGTATTTCTAGCAGCTAGACGGTATTGCTTATAATTTAAATAGAAAATATTTTGGTATAGTGGAAAGAGCACTAAGAGTAAAGAGAATTGAGTTTGAGTCCCAGCTCTGATACTAATGAGCTCTGCAACCTTAAGGTTGTCACTTAACCTCACTGGGTCTCAGTTTCTTCAACTGTAAAATGGAGTCGGATCTTTTCCAGCTCTATTAATCTTTGAACAAGCCCCTAACAAGTTTCAACTTTTATAAGCTTCGTTGAGAGAATTCTAAGAAAGATCATGACTTTTTCCTATAAAACATTTTAAAATACATTTAAAAAAGGAATTTTTAAAAACCTACATATGTGTATGTATACATACATACACACACACACACACACACACACACACACACAGAGACAGAGAAACAGAAAGACAGAGAGACTGGTTTCATTACATCCCTCAGACAAAAAAGTTCAGAAAGGGCCCCCATCCCACCCAGCAATCAAAACCTATGTAAGTCTTTACACCTGTGTTGAGAAGTAAAAAGATCAAGCTTGTGTTTCACCTATTCTTTCCACTTACTGTGGAGAGGTTAATGAGCAGTGAAAGGTCCAAAAGAAACAAGAGGGGAAACCAAGGGTCTGCAGTTCAGGCAAATAATGCTTCACATGGGATAAAAGTCTTTCAAGAGCAACTCTTGTAGGTTCCTCTCCTGAATCCCACTATTGTCTATATAATCCGTTTGTTTAGCTATTAATCCAGATGAATAGGATAGAATTTAATTTATAGACCCATTACAATCTATGATGATGCTCTGGGTCATTTACAAGCTGGATATAAGTGGTATTCATTTTTAAAAATATGGCCACATCTTTACTTTGATCATTAATTAATTTGAACCTTAAAGCCAGACATCACCAAATTAAGGTGCCACCTTAATGATGAAGAGGCAAGTCATCAGGTAGAAGAGGTAGACTATAGGGTCTTTTGCCCCATCTAAGTGATGCATAGTCCCAAGAGACCGAAGAGTCACAGATCTCAAGTTGGTCCCATGTAATAAAACTTCCTGAGCCTAGGAAAGGAAACTGAATTTGGATAAAAATTGGCTTTTTTGAAATGTAATTACCTAAGCAATAGGAGAACTTTGAGAAATAGATTTCCTAGAGGAAAAAAACATTCTCATCTTGTTTTGTGGTGCCTGAAGAACAAAGGAACAAAAATTAACTTTTTAAAATGCTTATGAAAGATTTGTTTAAGATTGTTTTAGAAATTATTGTGGGAAATTATCTCCTTTTAATGTTAACTAGTTTGCTTTGACCTACTAAAGAAATGTGATTTCTTAATTAATCTTATAATCAAAATATTAGTATATAATTTAGTTGGAAAATTATGTCCCAAAATGAATCTATTCATATTTCTGTGACTTTTCAAAAAAATCATTTGTATCAGGATTTTCAACTTAGTTATACCCCAGAGGTGTATCCTTAGGTAGATCATATGTCATATTTGACTAAATATATAGTAAGGACCTAGCAGGTACATACCATTTAAAAAAATCATTAATTTGGTATTCTAATTCTAGATTATGAAGTTTGTTTCTTAAACTTAGGTAAGTCAGAGTTGCTATGCTAAGGCATATGCTAAAATATTAATTAAGACTTTTTCTACTAGGAAAGTATAAAATTCTAAGATACTAATTGAAATATGTACTACGGGATTCACAGATGGAAGGAAGCTTAGAGATCATCTAATTCAACAATCTCATTTTACAGATGAGGAAACTGAGGCCCAGTGAGGTGAAATAACTTTCTCAAGGTAACATAGTTTATAAGAAGCAAAGTCAAGATTCAGAACCAAGGATAATTTTGTTTTGTTTTTTTACTTAAAATCCCATGTTTTTTTTCACTGAAGCACACTCCTTTACTCCAACACTTTGTTTCCTCCTCTAAATTATCTCTTATTGCTTTGTTTGCCTCTGATGGAACTTATCCCTTATTAACTTGTAACCATTATGTCTATATTTTCCCTCCCCATTTTGTAAGTTCTTGAAGGTAAAGGCAAGAACTGGAGCTGTGCGGACAGTGGACACTCATCATGTTTGTTAAATAAATGAATAATCATTCACAAATAATACATATTTTAGTTTAGTTAGAAAACTTTAGTTCATTTGCTATCCTTCACCAAAAATACTTCTGAGCCTCATTCACACTCCTCTGCCTA